AATAAATCGGACGATCTTGTTGAATTTTCTTTCGTTAAAAAGAAAATATCACACTTTCGTGATAAATGAAAATAATTTCTTATTTAAATTGAATTACTAATTTGATTATCGTGATATCAACGATAATTCTCGAAACAATTTCACGATGAAAATTCTTTGTTCCTTAAATGATAACTTATTATTCGCATAATTCATTAACACCATGTATTTTCCCGACCACTTCGCCGCAGTGCACTTCGTTCTTAAAGTATCATAGTTGGACAAGGTGCTCGTGGAAAACTCCAAGGCGTGGCGTGGATGATTTTTAGAGGATATCAGCGCTTAGGTGGAGAGCATGAACGAATTAAGTGAACGCCTAAGCACTCGAGTCGGGCAGAAACCAGAAATATGATTGTCTCGAGTTTCTTGGCGCACGGTTGTGTACTTTGCGATTGTAGCCTGCGCTACTGTGCTTTACTAACTTTCTCTCTCTCTCTCTCTCTTTCTCTCTGTATCTCCCTCTGAAACGCGACAGAATATTCCGGAAACAGCGCGAGGAAAAAGCTTGGGCCCCGAGAATAATGTAGAAACACAGTGTCGGTCAAGTATTTCACACTACTGGACGTGACCTTTACAAGAGTGTATACCTGACGAGTGACATCATGAGTCAGCCGCGTTAATTAGCGAATTCAAGGGTCTCGCCACGTAAGTGGGTCTCAGCCTTTCAGAAAGACTAGCCGTGACAACAGTAAACGCTTTCAATGCAAAAATGACATTCTTTATTATAGAATGAAGAATTTACTAACGAAGAAGGAACTTCGAGACCGGTCAGGTCTTTAACCCCGGAAAAATAATCGGTGGATCGGCTTCTAATTATATCCGTTATCCCATTTTCGTTTCCTATGTTTCTCTCAAGTTTCTCTTCTTTTTTCTTTGTATCTTCTTCTACTCGACAACCCTTGTATACCGGTATACAAGGTCTTGAACGATGAAAACAGCTTTGAAATGAATAATTGAAATTCGATTACCGCACTATTGTATTAGTATTCGAAGATTCATTGGTTTTTATTATCGTGGTTGTTACTTTGGCTTTATTTATAAATTTCAGAGTGGTTGTTGTTCGAGTTCGATTATCGACGTATTCGAATTTTATAAAGATTCGATTTACACGTTGTGACATAATATGTTATCAGTAAGGATATTTATGTATTTAATTATGACAAGTATAAATATGAAAATGTAAAAGGGTGAACGCGATGCGAAAATATCAATATAAAATATCAAATGTAAAATACGTGTAACAGTATTTGGAAGATAATGGACGTACATATTTTTACTCGAGATATGGTTTTTTTTTTTATCAATATGTATAAAAATATGAATTTGCACGAACATACACAGTTAGTATGTTAAAATAACTATTTTCTCGATTTTCGATTATTCTACGTTTCATTTAAAAATCGTTCTTCTTCGCGTTTCAGTCGCGACAAAGTTATCATTGATTATGCAGATGAAAGAAAGATTTTGTTATCGAATAAAAAAAAAAAAAGTTTCTCAAGTTTTTCTCGTTACGAAGCATATTTCCATAGATGGGAAAAATTCTAGTGTTCGCTTATAGTCTGGCGTCATCGTTTTCATCGTTTTCCTCGAGGAAGGTAAACGCGCGCCAAACCGGAACACCGACGTTTCCGGGATGTGCCCTGGAAACCGTTTTATATCTTCTTTTTTTACTCAGTTTTCGCTTAATATTCGCTAGCGTTTTTTTTATCTTTTTTTTTTTTTATAAAAATAATCGTTCTAATTTACAATTACAATAATTTTATCGATTCCAAAGTTTCCAAAAAAAAAAAAAATTATACAGTATCTAAACTAGTTTAAAAATTTACCATCGATTATCTTTTCTTTCATATTAAGTGACCAAGAATATTGAAATTAATTCGGCATTTAAATTGAACATACATTCGCGTTCATCAAATTTTCGATAATAGATATCTCTTAACGTTGCAATAAATATTAAATTAATAATAAAATATTAAATTCACGATTAAAATATTCAAACAATTTTATTCTAATATGATATGCATTTATTATAACATATACCGTGTCTTCCAAATAAATGATTACACTTCATTTCATAAAAGTTTCAAATAAGACATAAATATATATAAAATTCAACGCGTTAAGCGCACCATTTAACCTGCTCCAATTTCATCCTAAGTCAATCGTAATCCTCTATCTCTCATTCGTTCTCTTACAAAACGTATGTCTGGCGCACGTCTGTTCCGAGCCAGAACCAGACTGTATCTTTATAGCTGTTGCGGCGAACGAAATCACCTGCGGAAATTCACTTACTCGAGCAAGCTGGCCGTTTACGTGAAAGCTCGAGCGTTCTGCCAGCGAGGCACAATGAACAATAGACCTCATCTCCTTATATCCACACACGGCTGTACGCCACCAACCGCGCGCGTGACACACACTGCGACTCTCACGTACGGAACGTGACACGCGCGTGTACAAGCGGCCAAACTCGTGCACGATGCAACGAAGTCGCGCGAACGAAGACGCGTTCCTGTCCTCCCTGTGTATTATAACGTTTTATGCCGCGCACGTGTACGAACAGCTGCATTTTAAAATCACGGATTCGGCCGCCCAATTTGTCACGAAATTCGCGTGCAGCCGCGTATCCGCGTATCGGCACAAGTCAAATCGAGGCGATGACGGCGTTACGTACGCGAGTCGCGAATTTTTCCACATCGCCTACATCGCTTGACAACATCAATTTCCACCGAACAAGGACAATCAATTCTCGCTCGCGACAACGACGATTCCGTCGCCGACAGACGGGGAGGATGAGGATGGAAAGAAATCGTCGATGGATTTCTTCGCGAGAGACGGAAATACGACGCGGAAACACGAACGGTTTTATTATTGGTGGCTGGCGGAATCTTATATTCGAACGTAACAACGAGAATTCTATCGCCTACGAATCCGTTGGTATTTTGAACGGTGGCGAATACGTGCGTGACGGCAGAATCGCAGATTACGTTATATTCCGTAAATCGATGTTCGAGCTATATCGAGACGAACGTATTTAACTTCGGTGATCGAGTATTTAACTGATGATCAGAATAATTTATTCCGGGAGATATTCGAGGAAATTACTTTTTTATTATTTAACAACGAGATATTTCGATGTCCTTGAACGTGTAAGAGGAAATAGAAGGGGTTTATATAGCGGTTAAACGCCACGTAATGCGCATAAAGGGAAAGATGCAACTAAAGCAGCAACTTAAGAATCTCTGCGTCTGCAATTGTGGTTCGTCAGGAAGTCCGCCGTGTCTTCTTCGTCGTGCTCCTCGAATACAACAACTTCATTGTGCACGATATTTACAGAAACACACGCTTCGACTTCTTTATCGCGTTATTTTAATTTCGAATTCTAACGTCTTTAGAACGTCTTTCGTTTCAATTATTGAATCGTTAAATATCATCTATTTTCATAGATTTTTCTCCCAGGAATTCGTTTCCAAATTATGATAGTTTTATCGCAAAGATATATACACAATATAGATACTGTGTTCGTGAATCTATTTCTCTATACACAAGATACAGGAAGGAAGAGGAGGGAGATTGGGATAACTTTGGCGCACCTGGTGGTGAGCCATGAAACAAACCAGACACTGCGTGTATTGTTCATCTATCGCGAGACGAGATGGAATCGAGAAAAATGTACAGAATGAACAAAATATACGCGACGTTACAGATGAGCTAGCAGTCAAGCAGGTAGAATTTACATTGTTCACACTCTGTCTCGTATAGAAATCGATTTCACGCTTAGAGCGTGCGTGGACATTTTTATTTGCTTTCTATGCTTTCTGCGAGTTGTGTCGGCGCATCGTATCATTTGCACAGAAAACAGCGTACACTTATCTTTTTCTATTCTTTCCTTCCTGTTTCTTTATTTTTTCCTCCCCCCCTCCCTTTTTTCCCCTTTTCTTTCCTCTCTCAAACACATTTATTTGTTTTGTACACTTCGTTTCGTTTTGTGTCATATTTCGTCACATCGTTCCTGCACGAGATTTCTCATTTATTCTTTGAATTCATTCCAAGAGATTACGCGAACAACTTAACGTTTGCCAACCGAAATTGCTTGGATTTTAAACTAGATCGACCGAAGTTCTGATTAGTGTACACGATGTTCTTCATTCTCGTTCAATTATTCCGTCCGTGTAATTTGTGTGAACACACAACGTGTGTTAACTTTAATGATTGTACGCGAATATGTAAGTTACACGCATCATTCTCGGAACAGGTAATTTTTTCGCTGAAAAAGGAAAGGCGGTCGTGTTCGCTTCGATATTAAATGTTCGCAACGATGGAACCCGATATAATGAATTTTTTTTATTCTTTTTATTCGGTAATTGGAGTTACTTACAAAGTTTCTGATTTTCCTCCCCCGCTTTCTTCTTTCCTTGCTCTCTTCGCATATTAATAGAAAACTTTTTTACCTCGAAATAATAAACTTGAAGCACTTCTAACGCGAGAATTTTATCCTGTTTGATATTCTCTTCATTCCATTTTTTTTTATTTTATTCTTATTTTTTTCTTCATTCTATTTTTTTCCCCTCTATATCCTTTAAATGCGTTCATCAAAATAAATATAGCGGAAAAAGAAAGAGGATTTTATACGAGATTGGCGAGGCCTTTAGCTTGCGCCAATCGTTTATTCTATCCTGAAGAGGGAAAGCCCGGGGATTTCGTATCGAAAGGGATGTCAAAGACTTTAAACAGTTAAGGTTTATGCTTTTCATCGATGAGTTCCAATACCATTTCGATATTATGATCTCTTTTCTTGTGTGTATTTTATTTAAGAACAACGATTGTTAAAAATAAAGATAATAGAATAATTAATCGAAACATCATAATATGTATAATTTAACTTCAAAATGTGAGACGAAGTTATTGGACAAAGAGTTTAATTTCGTTACGATACCACGACAATTGGAAAGGAATGGCCAGGAATTAGATTCATAATCCAAATATAAATTACGTTGGAAGATCTTGGATATACATGTATCAATAATTGGAGAATATTAATAAACGGTGAGGTGGTTGGAATGGATCGAGCATAAATAGTGCAGATGCTGAGTGCAGTTAATTACATATATCAAAAGTTAATATTTAATTATAATATATTGATTGATCGCTCGGTTATATTATCAAATAATCATCACGCTATTATGGAGCTGTCCATAAATTAACGCGATTACACCACCATAGGGATCAAATATCGAATGAATGATTAAATTCTATCATCGTTTTCATCACGCTGTAAATTCGAGCAAAGATAAAGGAAAAGATTTTTCTTATCGATAGCGGAGAGATCGACTTTTCACATTTCTTGCGTGACTTTCATTCGTGGCTGGGTAATAAGAGAAAGTCACGAAAGAACGCGAAACGCGAAGAGTGGACGTTCGATTTAAGATGCTGGGGGATCCAGTTTATCCGGATATCGTTTATCTAAAATGGCGATCGTCCGAATACAGCTTATCCAAAGTGGTATACGGGATCTTGTCTACCGGTATGTCGTGCGCGACCTTGTCTTGTATCGAGCACACGTTCTGCGGAAATTCGAGCATGCGTTACATCTATCGATTCAATGCGGTTTTCAAACATCGATACGATCGAGATAGTTTCCATTTCCTCTTTTTTCACTTTTCGAACAATATGCAGTTCACTTTGCAATAGAAATACGAGAATAGAGTTATGGAAATGATTGAAAATATCTTTCGTTTCTTAATTTTATCGTTCGATACAATTTTTTCTTTAAGGATTCTCGAGCTGGTGCATAGTCTTCGATAGATGCTACATTATATCTTGTTGTTCGGAGAAGAAGTCTTTGAAAGTGAAGTATTAACTTTTAAAGATGTAGCGTTGTTTAATAAAAGGATTGTTCGATACTCTGAAGTTTCGCACTCTTTTGCATCTTATTACATTGACTTATTTGATGCATCAATAGATTGCTGAAATATTATTTTATTTTTCTGATGTTGAAAAATTGATCGTATGCGCATCTGAACTCGACCGAGCTATGTTTTTGTTAAATATTTATTTGGTATCAGAAATTTACATTCAATATCCTCATCCCCGTTCACAAATTCATCAACGGGACAATTTACCCAGACCATATTGAAACTAAACATAAAACAATCGCGGAAGTGAACAAAAATCGTTTCGGACCAACGATACCACCCTCCCCTGTTGTTTCAATCATTGATCAATCTATTTTATCTCTTCTTTGACAAATGAAACCTACAGTGAGAGATGATTTTCCGGAAACACGGGATGAACCCTGGTAAATCCATACGTTGACATTTAAACTCGCAATAAAAAAAAAAAAAAAGGAAGGATAAAACTTTATCCCGGTCCAGGTAACAGAAAGATGACTCGATTCGTTTCCAATTCGTATTCTGCATTATATCGAATATATTTTTCGAAAAGGGGAAAAGAGAGAAAAAAGAGGGAAGAAAAATATTTAACAATTTGTACAGTTATTCGTATTGAACACCGGTGGCTGCGGGTCGCACGCATCATTTCTCATGTACGCAACGTGCACGCACAGCAAATAGACGTTTGATTCAACGTGCACACACGCAACTACGCACACACGAATCGGGTCAACGTTTCGATTAACGTTCGTCAAACAAAATACGAATCCGTCGGCCTACAGTACGACAGTAATCATTTCCGAACTGACCGATTTTTTGACGCGATTGACAATCTTTCAAATAATGACAATTATTTTTCTACCACCGTTCTACTACCATCCTTCTCATTCCTTACCATCCCGCAACCAGCATGGATTTTCAATATCGATAAATCTCCATTGAGCCCACCTCAATCTCCGTCACCCGGAATCCATCTTTCCTCGGGACGTTTCACAAAAGATATTTCCTCTTTGGTAAATCAGAAGATTCGTCGATCCATAAAATTCCTGTCCGCAAACCGCGCGGACAGGATCGTTCTGCTGATATTTACAGCCGCTTTTTCTCATCCACCTGTCGGTAATGTCAATATCGAGTCCCGCAAATCCCGTTTACAACTTGTTTAGCCTCGTGTACTTTGACTCTTCTACTAACCCTTCCATCTCTTATTAATAATTACATAAAAATAATTATCTTTCCAAATATTTCGAACAAATTTTTCTTAAAAATCTGAACGTTATCTGAACGGTTCGAATCGAACACGTTCATCCGGAAGAAAATCGCACGCCATCGACGGATATAACACGTATAAAACAAATTCGACATTCGGTCCGCGTGATCCTCGCGGCTTACATCGGTCCCGTCTCCCTCCGACCGTCCATCGTTTCGATCAAACCGTCTTTCTCCGTGCTCTTACCCCTTCTTAGCCCCGACCAGCCAAACCACCCCTCCGGCACCACTTTATTCCAACCTCGGCCCCAACAAGAGCGATGAGGAGGGACGCAGGGGGCGAGGCGGGGAAGGAGAGAGAGATGGAGCGAAAGAGTGAGCGAGGAAATGACGGTGGGGGTGCACGAGGGTTGGAGTTGGCGTTGGTTAGACATGGAGGGGAGAAGGGCACAGTGTGTTTCTCCGCGAACCCCTCCAGCCCCCACCCCAGCCGCACGGGCGCCAACGTCAAGCGCTTTCGAGACGTTAAGGCCGACACTCGTGCGGCGCACTTCGGCCCGACGACATCGGCCAGGATCGTAGACACGTGCGTGTGCGTTAACCCTTTCGTATCATCCCCTCGTTGGATCGTCCAAGATCGACGAGATCCATTCGTGTCGTGCAACGTAACGTAATTTGTAACGCGTTCGTGTATAAATTCGTGATTTCGAAATCGTCGTGTAATTTAGTTTGTTTTTCTTCGTACGTTACAACAAAGTTCGTCACCGTTGAATTTATTTTCGCGATCGTGATCGTGGAAACAAAGTCGCAAGAGCGAATTTATCGTCACGCGGTGGATAGTCGATTTTTGTGGCGATGTGTAAACCGCACCGCGAAGAAGGGTGAGAAACAAGTGTGATCTATGTAATTGTAAAGTGAAGACACTGCGGTGTGATCTGTTCTTGGAGAAGGGTTGAACCGATTCCTCGATGCGCCCTTCCTTGGAGGGCGCAGCCTGTACGCGGTGGCAAGTCGAAGATCTTTGACGATAGCTCGCACGCATAGAATTTGGAGCACGTAGAAACGGGATATCTTTTCTGCAAATCGGAAGACGGACGAAGAATTTGCCGATCGACGACCGAAAGGATCATGAAGAAATCTTACTTTATCTTCGTGTAGTTTTTTTTTTTTTAAAAAGTAGATTCCTTTTTATCATTGATACAAACGTCAAACAATCTGATTGAAGTGTTTCCGGACAAGAGCGTCAATGTCGCATTCTTGATTCTTTTGCCTCTGATCCTTAATATCCTTCTACTTCTTCTTCTTTCTACGTCTTTTACTCTTCTTCTTCTTCCTCGTTTCTTCCCTTTGTTTGATTGTCGTTACTCGCGAGTTGACAGTGAAAGCGAGTATTCTGCATTCTCCGGAGAGTTTTACCCTTTAACACGCAAAAGCTCACCGTTTCACATTCGCCTTGCCTTGCCTCTTTTCTTGCTTCTTACCTTAAAGATCAAAGACCAACGACGTCGCTTTAATCTGCCAATGGCGGAATGGCGCATGATTCCTTCTCCTTTCCATTCTGCCCCTTGCTTTGAGAAGAAGACGTGCTCTTTTTGAATATTGTCTTGTCCCACGAGCAAAGTCCTTCGACCTGTCCTTTCTATTCAACGCGATTTTCTTCTTTCCTTCAACGTATCATGGTTTGAGAACGATGATGAAATTAATAGAATAGCCACGTGACTCTCTTGACTCGAGGGAAGAACGAGGTCAGTCGCTGCACGCGACTCGTGCAATGTCGATTTCGAGACTTTTCGAGGCTCAAGGGTTCCTCGATCCCTTAAGTTTTACGAATAGAATTCAAGCATTCAAACCGGCCATCTGAGATCTCTGCTCGCTACTTTTCTTTACTCGATCAAAGATCGTTTTCTTGATCTCTGTTCATCAAGTTTTAAACGATTACTTTGAAAATTAATTAATGATGGCAAAAAGTCGTCCCGCTTTTTCCTATTTTAATAACGTATAAATTAATCAATTCGTGAAATCTCAAATTTCCGTGTCCTGTTTCAATTTCTCATCTTATGATTTGATTGACAAAGTTGTTCGTGGAATGAGACGATTCCTCGAAGAATTTTATCTTTAATCCGAATCGTGTGATTTTCATTTTTTTCATCCACAAATCTCGCTCGCCGATATAAAAGGATTAAATGACTTCGCGTGAATCGAACTCTCGAAAAGCAGAATTCTCGTTAATCTCGTACGTTGAACAAATAAAATGTTTTCAAATCATCAAAGTGATATCGACGAAATCCTCTCTCGTGTCCTAATTAATACTGCTGTTAATGTCGAGAAGTTAGCGCCGAATGCATTGGATTTCGCATCAAACTGAATCATAGTAGCAACTCATACCCTCAGTTCCCAAAGAAAGTTATATACCTTTCGGATCGTATTATACGAATTTCGAGCCATTGCTGTTTGTTGCTGCAGAAACTTGGTCGGAACTTATGAGCGGAGCTTCTCCATCGTACAATACGAGCGGGGATAGTGAAAGAGGGGAAAATACTTGTAGAGGTTCTGGAGCTTCTTCTCCTATCCGTTTTTTGAAGGAGTCTTCCTGAAAGAACTCGCGAACGTGCAAATATTTTGACGTATGACCGTTCCTTGGATTTCGATGATTTTTAATTTTCGGAGCGGAAAGCTCGCGTTGTATGTCCGTGTTTAACTATCGAAACTTTCGAATCGATTTCTCTTCCGAGATTTTCCCTTTGCGAACGGTATTCTTTGTGAATTTTCGCACAATTTATAAACTTTGCGAATTTTACGATTTTATTTATCGAAAAGACACGAAACGTAAATAATGGTGTAAGAATTATCGATAATAATTTATAATAATTTCGACGTATTTGAAGTTATGATACAATTTTAATATATTTGATTTGATTTTATCCTTTATTCGTTGAATATAAATGGAAAAAATTCGTAATCAAAGAAAGCATTCATATCCCTTTTCGTTTGTTTTTCGATTCGTTACACCAACTATCGAAAATTTGATTCGTTAACTCGGGTTTTGTTATATCTCGACGATTCGTATCCGTCGTGTGAAAACTACGATGCTGACTGTTTATGGTGGAATTCCGAAAAAGCATGAAATGCGAGCGTGCAAAGGACACTAGTAAACGGAGAAGATAAAGAAATTTTGACGCGACGATTTCTCTTCATTTACTTTTCTTACTACGGCTTTATCCCATAAATTGCAGTCGGTATAATGCACTAAATGAAGGCAAACTTTAGAATTTGTTTTTTTTTTTTCTTCTCTCTCTCCTATCTCTCCTATCTCTAAGCATTGGATCCAGCGAGGATAATTTTTCCCCTTGAAACGGTGCAAAAATCGGCATGCTCCTTGCTCAACACGGTCCAATTTACATTTCGACGATAGAACGTAATAAACTCTCGTGTCGAGGCTTATCGTATCTTCGTTCTGGTCCCCATGTTTTAAAACTGCATGAATATTTCACGAACGCTTCAATCTTCCCTTCAAGGTATCGCCAAATGACGTTACCTCGAAAAATGGTCTCGTCCTGTCATGAGTTTTCTGTGTCGAACAAGCGGAAAGTGGTATAATCTCGGAGGACAATGAGGAGATCTTGCTTGTGTCGTGGAATTTTCTCACCTTGTGAAAAGAGGCAAGAAGTCCAGTTACATTGGTCGACAGAAGTCTTCTTTATTACCTGGTCGATTTTGCGTGGCCCACCCCTGTAGACGTTGACGTCGAGAGCGTTAAAAGGCTTGTCTTCTTCTAACCTGTCCTCTTTTCTTCTCTTTTCTATCTCTCTTATTGGCCTGGTATACCTGGTCAAAAGAATACAGAGGGATGTCACGGACAATAGGTTTGAAATCAGCACGAGTCAAACAATCGACAAATAAAAATTCGTGAGCGTGGCCGAGATTGAACAGATAGTGGAAGCGCGAAAACAGATAAGTCGAAGGGCGGATTCGTGGCTTTAGAATACATGGAAGTGGAAAAAAATGTTCAAGTGCGTGTGCAATGACGACGACCATATCCCATTCGTAGTAAACGTGATTCGCGAGCTATCGTGTACGACTAATAATAGTACTTGACGCGAAATTATTTTTCACTATCGGTCATTTCAAAAACAATTCCAGATAGAACGTGGACGTTTGTTTGATAGATCGGTTAATAAAAAGAAAAGAAACATGGGAGAAGAAGGATACGCGAGAACATGGTTTATTTGATCCATATTCGATCAGAAAACGGAGCTATTTTCGTGTTGCATGAAATATTCGATTATATTCTTTGAAACTTCTTGGAAGTAACCATCTTGTGGCTATTTATGAGACCGAAATGATTCATGATATACGAGGGAACGATGTTTGCGGATCCGTTACATTGATTTTCTTTATTTTGGGGTATTATTCGCAAACAAAGTAAATTGGGACAAATATCTTTTTACATGGATTTTGATTTTTTTAAAATAAATTTCTTCCCTCGTTATTCATTTTATACTTGAATTCTAGTAAATTTCTTCGATATTCATTCGATATTCATTTGTTTCCACACTTCGTACAGATAGATATATTTTTAATATCTTCATATTTTATCTCCCGATAGAAAAAAGTAAATAAAATTTATAATATTAAAGTTAGATAAAATACATATGTCGTCGAAAAATGATCGTAAATTCTCGTTCAAAGTATAACGACAAATCGTACAATCGACCAATGGAACGTGCCAGTTTTTTCCCTCAGTTTTCAGACAGTTTGTTATTGTCTGTGGTGCTGCATTGCTTGTTCACGTACTTTCGCCAAGTGAGGTACATCGGTTTTTGGCAGAAACAGGAAAGATTGTCGTCAGTAACGATCTCTTGCTTTGTCTTCAAACTTCGACAAATTCGTTCACGTGTTCGTTTTCTAACGAGTCGAAAATGTGTGGCTCACGAGCGGAATTACAAACGAATTCGAGCTTCTCTTGTTTCTTCTCTTGTTTCTGTTACCTTATAACCTGTTGTCCCTTTCCTACTGATCCAGGTATCGGTTGAAACCTGGTAATTATATAGTTTCGTCGATGAACATTGACAAGATTTCTGACAAACAGATTCCGATAAACAGAATTATTCTCTGAAAAAAATCGTGTGATCGTGTTGTACGATAATATTATTTTCCGACTTTGTCACGATGAATGAATTTCATATTCTTCGATTAAAAATAATTTGTAAATTCAACCTTTCTATTTTATATAAAGAAAAATATTTCTTTTTATATCTAGATGAAAATTCTTTTGTAGATCTAATTGAATTAATAGAAAAAGAACGATATGTACGACGAAACTTTATTAATATCGCTTCATTCGTTTTGAGTTAACTAGAGACATTGCGCGGTAACTTTAGTCGTTGCAAATTGAAAGCTCGTTCATTTTTCAGAAAGTTCCAATTCTTTTATATATAGTAGTTTCAAATTGTTCAAGATCAAAAATTTTCTTTCGTTTAAACGAAAATTATCCCGTGTAGATGTTTGTAATAAAAATTATAAGAATTTTTTTATAATTTTTAAGGATCAATCATATTATTGAAAAAAAAACTTTATCAATATCATTTTTGTCTAACGAATTCGCGGCAGTGCGGTATTTCTAGTACATTTAATAATTTAAACCCTTAAATTTTTCAAGGAATACAATTTTTTATTTTTTCATCTAGTCAATTTTGTTAAATTCGAAACGTCTCATTATCAAAATCGATATATCATCGCACATCGTACATAAGGATTCTCTTCCATGGGATCAATTAAATTATTAAATAGACTACGATGGTCTGATTGAACTTGGCGAACGTCACAGGTCACTTTGGAGGCAATCTGGGAAATTACACGGTGTGTCTGATCGTTCAGTCCAGGAATAACCGTATTCCATGGATAGCTGATTGGCGGTTTCTAATTAACGAGTTGTTTCTGACAATTGAAATCGGGATTATCGACGGTGCACGCGACGCAGCGCAAAACAAACGAACGTCAAAGGCCTACCGAGCGACTTGTTCGTCAGATATTAGTTACACGTTCGCCCATGGGAAATCTCGGCGAGCATCTCTTCCCGCAGCTTTCTCTAGTCGGTTGCGAGGCATAAGGAAACATTCTATAGACGTGTCTCTGTCAGCGAGACTTGTGCA